GAGAAAGACAAACACTGTATGATCTCACTCATATGTGGAATATAAACCAACTCATGGACAGAGAAAACTGTATTGTGGTTACCAGGGGAATGGGGGTGGGGGGTGGGCACAAGGGGTGAAGGGAGTCATATACATGGTGATGGACAAACAAAAATGTACAATCCAAAATTTTACAATATTAAAAACTATTAAAACATCAATAAAAAAAAGAAAAAAAAATTAATAAGTTCAGAGCTGTGCTGGAACAGAGGGTGCCATTATCAGACAAAAAATTGAGGAAGTTTGGCTGGCCCGGTGGCATAGTGGTTAAGTTCATGTGCTCCGCTTTGGTGGCCCGGGGTTTGCTGGTTCGGATCCTCGGCACGGATCTACTCACCGCTCATCAAGCCATGCTGAGGTGGTGTCCTACATAGAAGAGCCACAACTCTACAACTATGGTATACAACTATGTACTGAGGCTTTGGGGAGAAAAAAGAAATACAGGAAGATTGTCAACAGATGTTAATGCAGGGCTAGTCTTCCTCAAAAAAAAAAAATTGAGGAAGTTACTGGAAGATAGATAGTAGATAGTATTGGAGTGGTGTAGAAACTGTACTCTGTCTCTCTTTTCCTTTCATAGACACATTTCTTGAGAGTTACCTACATTCACTGCTCTACTTCCTTGCCTTGTGTTGCCTCTGGGAATCACTAAAATCTGGCTTCTTTCACTATGAGTTCATTGAAACTGTTCTTGTTAAGGTCTCCCACGATCTTCCTCTTGCTAAATCCAGTGGTCATATCCCTGTCTTAGGCAACCTATTAGCAACATTTATCACAGTTAGTCACTTCTTGAAACACTGTCTTCTCTTGGTTTCCATGACACCTCACTGCTCTGGTTTCCCTCCACCACCTCCTCCTCTGTCTTCACGGCGGGCTCCTCTTTTCTGCCTGATCTCTGAACATTGGTGTTCCCTGGACGTGGTCCTGGCCCCTTCTCTTCGTCTTTCATGTTCTCCTATATTAGCTCATTCATTCTCATGACTTGAAATAACATCTACGTCCTGATGGATTTCTGTCTCTAGTCCGTTTCTCTCCTTGGAGCTCCAGGCTTTTATACTCAATTACATGAAAAAAAAAACCCTTTTTATTTGGAGATAATTTCAAACTTATAGAAAGGTTGCAAAAATAAAAATAGCATTAAAGACACCTGTATTCCCTTTACCCAGATTCACCTAATGTGAACATTTTACACTATTTGCTTTATCTTTCTCTCTCTCTGTATGTATATACCTGTGTTTATGTGGGCTTGTCTGATGTTTTCTTATGATTAGGTTCAGGTTATTTATACTTTGCTGGAATATTGCCTAGGTTAGGTTGTGGCCTTCTCAGAGTTTCGTATATGATACACCTGATTCAAAACTTTCTACAGCTATAGGAGATCCAACGGGAGCATAGAGAGGAGGAAGTGAAGAAATAGTAGACAACATTTTCATGGATGGAAAGACCCACATAATCAATAACTTCAACAAAGTATACCCTGACTCCGACAGAATTTTTCCTGCTATTTGTATAACAGATCCTAAACTTCCTATGGAACAGTAAATGTGTAAGAATATTCAAAGTTAAAGGGAGGCTAGTTTCCATCTCCTAGATGGCAGAGAAAAGACATTCTACTACCTTTCTTCTCAACATCAGCCTCCAAACAAGGAGAATATTAAACAGAAATGTAAATTCCATCTTTGATTAAACTAGGAAAACCTGAGACCCAGAACCATAATAATTGAGGAATGGCTGCCCAGTGAAGGGATCCGCAGCATGGAATGAAGAGGGGATGGGATAAATAAATTATGCAATTTCCATACAGTGGAATATTAAAAAGAATAAGGCAGCTTGATACATACTGATAGGAAGAATCTACAGAATACATACTGAGTGCATACTATCTGCTGATATATGCCTAGAATATTTCTGGAAAAATGTAAGAGGTTGCTTCTGGGGAGAAGAACTGGATACGGCTGGGGAATGTCAGTGAGAGAAAGAGACTAACTTTACACTATGCTTTTTGAGATTTTTTTTTTTTCCATAGGCCTGTATTACCCATTTTTTAAAAAGTGAATTGCCAAAACAAGAAGAAGGAAAGGCCTTTTCTAAACCTCACAGGATATACTTTAAAGTTATGGTAACTAAAATTGTGACGTTGTTATAGGAATAGATGAGCAGATCAATGGGACAGAATAGAGGCAGAACCAGATCAATATATACATGGGAATTTGATGCACGACAAAATGGCACTTCAGATCTGCGGGGCAACGATAGATGTGTCAATAAATACAGCTGGACTAAATGGTTATCTGTAGAGGAAAAAATGAAGTTGGACCAGTGCCTTATTTTGTGCACAAATGTAAATGTCAATTTGTTAAAAGACCTAAATGTCCGAAACAAAGCCGTAAAAATGTTTAGAAGAAACGTAGGCAAATGTGCTTCTGACTTTGGGGTAGGAAAGGCCTTCTAAACAGACACAAAGAGCAAACAAAACAAATAAACAAAGAAGGAAGATAGGGAGGAAGGAAACTCTTCAAAACAATGTATCTTAAATGGTTCTGTGTTGTGTGTGTGTGTGTGTGTATGTGTTTTTATATTCCACACTCATACTAGTGGTTCCCCCCGGTAGGATTAGGCATGGAGATGGACTGGGAACTGTGGGCTTTAGTTTTACATATAAAGGACTTTTTAAAAATCATTTCTTAAGAAATTTATTTTTACTTTTTTAAATTTAATTTACTGGTATAATTAAAAACTTATTCAAAAAAACAGAAAAAATTTCCCCAAACTGAAGAAAGCCAACAAATCTTCAGAACGAAAGAGCCCGCTGAGCATTGAGAAGAAACCATGGAAAAAAGATTCAAACATAAACATATCCTTTTACAATTTTATAATTATAAGGATACATAGAAAAATCCTAAAAGCTTTCGGCGAGGGAAGACTTTTTTTTTGTAACTTATGGACTTAATTTGAATTTTGGTTCAAACGAGAAAACAGTTAAAAAACGTATAAGCAATCAGGGAGATGTGAACATTTATTGGCTATTTGTTGACATTATGAAAGTGCTAAAAACGTTTTTTAATTTATTGAGATAACATTGGTTTATAACATTGTTTTTTTGTTTTTGTTTTTTGTGAGGAAGATTGGTCCTGAGCTAACATCTGCCAATCCTCCTCTTTTTGCTGAGGAAGACTGGCCTTGAGCTAACACCCATGCCCATCCTCCTCCACTTTATATGGGACACCACCACAGCATGGCTTGCCAAGCGATGCGTCGGTGCACGCCCGGGATCCGAACAGGTGAACCCGGGGCCGCCGCAGCGGAGGAGCACGCGCACTTAACCACTTGCGCCATGGGGCTGGCCCCTGGATTATAACATTGTATAAATTTCAGGTGTACATTATTATATTTTGATTTCTGTGTGGACTACATCATGTTCACCACGCAGACTAATTACCATCCGTCACCATACACAGGTGCCCTCTTACTCCTTTCACCCTCTTTCCTCTCTCCTTCCCCTCTGGTAACCACCAATCTATTCTCTGTGTCTATGTGTTTGTTGTTGTTGTTTTTATCTTTTACTTGTGAGTGAAATCATACCGTATTTGACTTTCTCTGTCTGACTTATTTTCCTTAGCCTAATACCCTCAAGGTCCATCCATGTTGTTGCAAATGGCAAGATTTCATCATTTTTATGGCTGCGGAGTATTCTATTGTGTATATATACCACATCTTCTTTATCCATTCATCTGTTGATGGGAACTTAGGTTGTTTCCAAGTCTTGGCTATCTTGAATAATACTGCAATGAACGTAGGGGTATCTTTTTGCATTTGTGTTTTCAGGTTCTTTGGATAAATATCCAGCAGTGGAATAGCTGGATCAAATGGTAGTTCTACTCTTAATTTTTTGAGGACTCTCCATACTGTTTTCCATAGTGGCTGCACCAGTTTACATTCCCACCAGCAGTGTATGAGGGTTCTCTTTTCTCCACATCCTCTCCAACACTTGTTATTTCTTGTCTTGTTAATTATAGCTATTCTGATGGGCATGAGGTGATATCTCATTGCAGTTTTGATTTGCGTTTCCTGAATAATTGGTGATGTTGAACATCTTTTCATGTGCCTGTTAACCATCTGTATATCTTCTTTGGAAAAATGTCTGTTCAAATCCTTTGCCCATTTTTAAATTGGGTGGTTTGTTTTTTTTCTTGTTGAGTTGTATGTGTTCTTTATATATTTTGCATATTATTTGCAAATATCTTCTCCCAATTGTTAGGTTCCTTTTCATTTCGTTGATGGTTTCCTTGCTATGCAAAATCTTTTTAGTTTGATACAGTCCCATTTGTTTATTTTTTCTTTGGTTTCCCTTGCCTGGTGAGATATGGTATTCAAAAAGATACTGCCAAGACTGTTGTCGAAGAGCGTACTGAGTATGTTTTCTTCTAGAAGTTTTATGGTTTCAGATCTTACATTCAAGTGTTTAATCCATTTTGTGTTAATTTTTGTGTATGGTGTAAGATAATGGTCTACTTTCATTCTTTTGCATGTGGCTGTCCAGTTTTCCCAACACCACCTATAGAAGAGACTTTCCTTTCTCCACTGTATATTCTTGGCTCCCTTGTTGAAGATTAGCTGTCCATAGATGTATGGGTTTATTTCTGGGCTCTCAATTCTGTTCCATTGATCCATGTGTCTGTTTTTGTGCCAGTACCATGCTGTTTTGATTATTATAGCTTTGCAGTATATTTTGAAATCAGGGAGTGTGATACCTCCAGCATTATTCTTTTTTCTCAAAATTCCTTTGTCTAGTCAGGGTCTTTTGTTGTTCCATACAAATTTTAGGATTCTTCATTCTATTTCCATGAAAAATGTAATTGGGACTTTGAGAGGGATTGCACTGAATCTGTAGATTGCTTTAGGAAGTATGGACATTTTATTTATGTTAATTCTTTCAATCCATGAGCACAGAATGTCTTTCCATTTCTTTGTGTTTCTCTGATTTCTTTCAACAATGTTTTATAGTTTTCAGTGTACAGGTCTTTCACCTCTTTGGTTAAATTTATTCCTAGGTATTTTATTCTTTCTGTTGCAATTGTAAATGGGATGGTATTTCTCATTTTTTTTCCTGCTATTTCATTTTTAGTGTATTCTACAAGGCCAACATTACCCTGATACCAAAACCAGACAAGGACAACATAGAAAAAGAAAATTACAGGCCAATATCACTGATGAACATAGATGTAAAAGTCCTCAACAAAATACTAGCAAATTGAAAACAACAATACATTAAAAAGATCATACACCGTGATTAAGTGGGACTTATTCCAGGGATGCAGGGATGGTTCAACAACTGCAAATCAATCAACGTGATACACCACATTAACAAAATGAAGAATAAAAATCACACGATCATCTTAATAGATGCAGAGAAAGCATTCGACAAGATACAGCATCCATTTAAGACTTTTGATACATTTTGCAAAAGTATCTTCCAAAAATGTACAGCCACCAGCAATTTTCAAGAGCCTCTGCTCTCCCTGGGTTCCTCTACACTACCTATGTCTGGCTGAGGCTGGTTCCGTAG